GGCAGGGCTGCTCCTCATCTGACCGATCCTCAGCGCTGCCAGGGCCCTGGGAAGCAGAAAATAGCTCCGACAGGCTGGGCAGGGCTTYGCTCTGCTCTGGATCCCACTTTGCCTGGCAGGGGACAAAAATCAGCCTCAGGGATGTGCTGGACGGGCCCTGAGCAGGGCACTCCCGGCCCCAGGGGTGGCACAGTGGGGTGGRGGCACAGTCACAGGGACAGGGGAAGTGACATCCCCAGGGATTTCAGGATTTCTCCCGGCTGTGGGAGAGCCGCACGTCAAACACCCCCAAATTTAGCCTCTGACACAGCATTYTGTCCGTCTGGGCTGGCTCTGACGACACAAGGGTGGCAACTGTCACCTGCTGGGCCCTGGGGCAGTGGGGACAGCAGCTGCCAGTGCCAGGAACATTCACAGTCCCTGGGCCAGCACCACGAGACAGCGGGGACAGCGCTCCTGGAGCATCCCCGTGTCTGCAAAAGGGCTCAGATTCAGCCCTCCCTGCCTTCCCAAAGAGACCAGCAAGGAGCTGGGGGCTGAGCAGAGCCTTTCCCTTTGGTGTTTTGGGGTTCTGTCCCCTCCCAAAGCTCTGGGTGTGAAGGGTGTCCCATAACTGAAGGGCTGAGCACTGCGTTAATTAATGCCCCATTAATTTGGGCTCATCCCAGCGGGTCTGGGGATGCTCAGGGACCCTCCAGGAGCTCATCACTCCACACCTCTTTGTCCTTGGGGCCACTTCCCTCTGGGGCTCCCTRAAAACATCAGCTGAGGCTCAGCATGGCCACGGTCCCTTTGTGTCCCCAATGGTGCCCCTTCCCCGGGTGTGGGCTCCCAGCTGGGCACTGCCCACTCTCCCTGCTCCACAGGGACAACACCAATCCAAGGCAGACAGGAGAAGAGCAGAGGCAGATTTATTCCTCTACAGACCCACTCTCACCCCCCACAGCCACCCAGGGCAGCATCTGGGCACTGGGATCCCCTTTTTCCTCCGGAGCACGGTCCAGAACTGAGACACAGCCTCACAATTTAGGGTGGGAGTGATCCTGGGGTGGGAGCAGAGCGCCCTGCACGGTGACCTGACCTAGGGGAAAGCTTGCACTGCAGTCACTCACACTCACACTTCAGTCCCACTGTTTTTTTTTTTTTTTTTCCCAGTTCCAAGTCCCTTCTTTTCCAGCCATCAGCCTTGAGGAGCAGAAGCGTGGCTGCCTCAGGGCCCTGCTGAACACTGGTGGTGAGAAACAGAGTCCTGGCATTGTGATACCCCATCCCTGTCCCCCMAACCTCCCCACAACCACACCCTTTAGGACTTTTCCTTCTCTTTCCCCTCCTGGGACTGTTCTTCTCTCCCCTCTGGCTGCTCCTGCTGGGTTATCTTCACCTCGTTGACTCTTGCCTTCAGCTCCTTGCCTGTCCGGGGAGCCACGATGCTCAGGATGCCATCATGGGACAAAGTGGCYCTGACCAGCAAGGGATCCACGTCCAGGGGCAGGATGTAGGTCCTGGTGAACTCCCTGGAGATAAATCCGTGGCGATCAGCCTTCTGTGGGTGCTGGCCCACCACCTCCAGCAGGTTGTCCACGGTGCGGACGCTCAGCTCGTCGGGCAGGAACTGGCAGACGTCCAGGAACACCTGGAACTTGTGCTGGTTSAGGCAGATCTCCGAGGTGCCCCTCTCCAGCTGCTTGTTGATGCGGGGACGGATGTAGTAGCCGTGGTACAGGGCAGGGGCCAAAATCTCGGATGGGGACACACCTGGGAGGGAGAC